GATATTTTCCTGTCCTCATAAGTCCTTTATAAATGTAATTTCTTTTGGGTGGGGGTTGATTTTACATGCTCTGTTCATGCTTTTTGTTTGTTTTCTCTTTATCAGTGTCTGAGTGTTCTCATTCATGTTTGTCTTCCAAAAGTTGATACTGTCTTCTACTTGATCTATAATATTTTTGTAGGTTTTAAATTTTTCTTTAATTAGGTTTGTTTCTCTTTTTTGAAAGATTTCTTTCTTTATTTTATATATATGAGTGCTCTGTCTGCATATAGAGCCTGCATGCCAGAAGAGGGCATCAGATCCCATTATAGGTGTTTGTGAGCCACTATGTGGTTGCTGGGAATTGAATTCAGGACCTCTGGAAGAGCAGCCAGTGCTCTTAACCATTGAGCCATCTCTCCAGCCTATAGGTTTGTTTATTTATTTGTGCTTATACATGGGTGTGAGTGTGCCACTATGGATGTGTGACAATCAGAGGAATCAATTCTTTCCTTCTACCCTGTGGGTCCTAGGGTTCAAACTCAGGTCATCAGGCTTGGTGGTAAGTGCTCTTACCCACTGAGCCTCATGCTAGCCCCTGTGGCTTTTTACAGAGTTTTTTACTTAATGACCTCTTCATTTGTAAGATTTCAATTTGATGTTCTTAGTTTTTCTCTAGCTATTGCACCCTTCTTTCATATCTTGAAATGAATCCTCAATTTTATTGGGGTACATTTATTTGTATTCTCTTATTTTTTTCAGGATTTTATTTATATTGTTTTTTGGTTAGGTTTTCTTATGATTGTCTTTTGGAGTACTTTGATTTCATTTGATTCACTGTCATTGGAATCCAGTTCCTTGAATTTGGCATTATCCAAGATGGCATTCTACCATGATTTGAATTCATGTTTGTGCTTTGGGATTTCCATATCTCTGGTTATCTTGTTGGATTCCTTCTTCCCTTCCCTAAAATAACTGCTGTCTTATTTCAATTGTAATATTTGCAGTTTGCAAAGGGAACTAGTTTATAGTAAGGGCTGGGATTTGTTCATCAGTATACTGGGTTGTAGGTTAGTAGCTAAATAGTCTATGTGCAGAGGCCTTAAGTTGTGATCCTCAGTACTACTCCAACTGCAGAAACAGCCATAATGGCTAGAAAGGACCACTATGCAAGGCATGTTAAAAAACAAACAAACAAACACACAAACAAACAAACAAACAAACAAAAAAAAAGACAGTGTTACGGCCAGATGTAGTGGCACATGTTTTTAATCCAGCACTTGGGATGCAAAAGTAGTCAGGTCTCTGTGAGGTCCGTGTCAGCCTTGGTCTACATAGTGAGTTCCAAGCCATCCAGGGCTACATAATGATTCTTTTTCAAACAACCACACATAAAAAGTGCTGCCTTTAAATTCTGTATATAGTGGAACAAGGATAATAGTTTATACTAAGTATTAGTTCCTAAGTTTAGATGTAGAAGGGAAGTAGATCAACTGAGAGAGTAGAGGCTGACAAAGTAGAAAAAAGAGAAACTGGAGAGGTTTGATTCCATATGAGGTAGGATTGAGAGGGAGAGTACATGGTTTGTGTGTAAGAATAATAGTAGAAAGTATGTCACTGAATGGTTGCAGAAACATACCAAAACACCTTAAACCTATTGAAAAATAGAAAAATTCAAGGAAGACTGTTAGATTTATGCAAGAGTAAAGATTAAAAAATCAATTATAAGCCGGGCAGTGGTGGCGCACGCCTTTAATCCCAGCACTTGGGAGGCAAAGGCAGGCGGATCTCTGTGAGTTCGAAGCCAGCCTGGGCTACCAAGTTGAATTCCAGGAAAAGGCACAAAGCTACACAGAGAAACCCTGTCTCAAAAAACAAACAAACAAACAAAAAAATCAATTATAAGCCAGGCATGATGGTGCACATCTTTAATCTCAGCACTAGGAAGAAGAGGCAGGCAGATCTCTGAATTTAAGGCTAGCCCTGCCCACATAGTTCCAAGCTAGCCAAAGCTACATAGCAAGACTGTCTCAGAAAATCTAAACAAACACTGAAGTGCTGTGGGATGGAAATCCAGGGAGAAGGAGAGCAGAGTCAGGACAGCTGCCATCCAGCTGCCCAAGGAACAAGATGCCAGCAGACCGGTAATGCTACAGCCACGTGGCAAAATATAGATTAATAGAAATGGGTTAATTTAAGATATAATAGCTAGCTAGCAATAAGTCTAAGCCACAGACCAAATAGTTTGTAATTAATAATAAGCCTCTGTGTGTTTATTTGGGACTGAGCAACTGTGGGACACAGGAAAACTTACAGCTGCATTTTAAAATGTGCTGTGGGATGGTCTTTCTGTATGCTATGAATATGTGTTGCTACCATTTGTTAATAAAGAAGCTGCTCTGGTCTATGACAAGGCAAGTTATAGCCAGGTAGGAAATCCAAGCAGAGAGACAGGGAAAAGGAGAGCGGAGTCAGGACAGATGCTATCCAGCTACTCAAGGAACAAGATGCCAGCAGACTGGTAACACCATGGCCATTTGGTAAAATATAGATGAATAGAAATGGGTTAATTTAAGATGTTAGAGCTAGCTAGCAATGAGCCTGAGCAATCAGCCAAGCAATTATAAGTAAGATTAAGTCTCTGAATGATTATTTGGGAAGTGGCTGACAGCGATTTGGAAACTGGCAGGTGGGACAGAGAGAAATTTCCACCTACACTGAAGTGTAATAAAAGTAAAATTAGTTAAAATTAGTTATATATTTTATATATGAATCTTCCTTTCTAGTGCCATGTCATGTAGAAATCCATGATGCTGAAACAAGTGTGGTTCAGTGCTCCAACTCAAACCTTTAGAACCAGTGAGTGGGTATGCAGTGCCCAGTGGAGTTGAAACAAATTGCTCCTTAGATTGGTCTTCTCACCCAGCTGTCCAGGGTTCAGCTTTGCATTTCTCAGTTCCCATAGTGTCCAGGTGTTTTATGACCCTTCAGGAGAACCCCTCAGGCAATCAGCTCCAGGCATATTTGCCATACTTACACTTTTTTCCTGAGCATACACTGATCCCAAATATGTTCATGAAACCCTTGGTTTCATTCACAGGCCAGTCGGTCACTCCTCACATATCTGTTCCTAAGGTGCCATTGTCAGGAAGGTGGGAAAAGCAATTACCCAGTAATTCTCACTAACGACAAACAGAACTGCAATGGTAAGAGCTATCTACCTACTTCAGTCTCAAAGGTCACACAGCAGCCTCCATCTTCACAGCCTCTCTGCTACATGGCTGGTAGATCTACTAAGTGTTCCTGCAGCCCATCATTTTATTTTGAAAGGCAATTCTGAGATCATTTCTGTTCATAACAACCCAAATTGCCTTGTGTATTCACTTGTTTGCAGACTTCCAAATTATTGAGTTTATTTTCAGCTTTCCTTTCATTGGAATAGACTTGTTTATTATGATTATTTCCTTTCACCAAATTGCAATAGTGGGGCTTCTAATTCTCTGTCTTACATGGAAGTCTCTAGCATCTCCCCATAATACATTCTCAATGGGCCTTGATTGTGAGCTCACTCCTACATCTTCCTGCATGGCTGAAGACTGTACTGTCCACACTGGTGTGATGACATCTGCATCACATATCTCATGGCATTATTAGACCATAATACATAATTAGGAATTGAAAGTGTGGGAGCTTGAAATTCTGATGCTTCACTACATTGTCCTCAATATTCTACCCACAATGGTTGAAGTTTACACTTAATGTTGGTCAAACTTTTAAAGGTTTTGTTTTGTTTTCATTTTATCATGAAAAGTAGCAGGTTTCCTTATGGTTTTTTTAAAGTTATTGTGGCAGTTTCAGAGACTGTTAAGACTTTTGCCACATTTAGATGTTTTTATTTTTATTTTTTTTTATTTTTATTTTTTTTTGTGCAAGGTGGGAGGTAAGGGTCTAAAGTCGTATTTCTGTTTGTGACTATTATAAACAAAATTTCCTAGAAAGAAGCTGAACCTTCCATTGGACCTTCTGCAAGGCTGACCAACTGTGCAGAACTTCAGTAATTATAGAGAGTTTGGAATGCTCCAAGTCCAGCACTAAATCATCCTGAGTCATCTTTAGCCGCCATAATAGTAATTTATGCTCCTACTCTAGCTGACATCTTTGTAATCATTAGATAAATCCCATGGGATGTGCAAACAGCACTGATTTCTAACCAACCAAGAAAGCTAAAAATGTTTTTAGATGGTGTTTGAGGCCTATGGCACAGTCTCTCCCCTTTGCTTTAGCATTCCTACCTAACGTTCCTACCAATGTATTTCAAAAGTGTCTCAATTTATGACTTTCTTTCTTCTATTTCTATAAAAACTATATGAAACTCCTTTCACATTGGAACATGGAATTTGATTATGACCTAAATCTGTGCTAACAGGCCATGGTCACTCATATTGGGCTCCAGAATAAACTAACTCTTATCCCCTTTGAAAGTAGAGTTGCGTTTTTACATTGACAATACCTAGCTTTCTCAGATGCCTTTTATTTGATGAGTAGTTTTTTAATCTTTGTCTAAACTCAGATGGCTATGGTTTCATAGGACTCTGTCTGGGTCTTCTCTTCCATTGATCCTTATATCTGTGTTATGTCAGCACCATGTGTTTTTACTACTGTGGCTTTCTAATATAACTTCAAAGCAGCTATGATGATACTTCCTATATTAGCCTTTGTCTTCAGGATGGCTTTTGTGCTTCCAAATGAATTTTAGGGTTTTATTTTTTTTCAATTTTGTAAAGAATCACATTGGAGTTTTGATGTGAATGGCACAGAATCTACTCCTTATGGTAAGACTTGCTCAATTATTTGAATATACACCTTTACCTGGTGAATTACATGTTATTGTCAGATGAGTTCACTACCAAATCTTTTTTTTTTTTAAAGATTTATTTATTTATTCTGTATACAGCATGTATGACTGCAGGCCAGAAGAGGGGACCACATCTCATTACAGATGGTTGTGAGCCACCATGTGGTTGCTGGGAATTGAACTCAGGACTTCTGGAAGAGCAGTCAGTGCTCTTAACCTCTGAGCCATCTCTCCAGCCCCTCACTACCAAATCTTACTGTAGAGTATTTTTGGTTCTGATCAGGTAAGCTTCCTCTTGGAAAATCCCATAGATATTCAAGCATGCAGAGGGACAATATGAGTGAAACAAGTAGCATATTGTCATAAACTTTGAATGATAAACTGCTTCACATTTGTGCTAGTGGCATTTGGACCAATATCAATGACTGAGCAGATGATCTTCTGATATATTTTAGGAATATGCAGTTGTTGGACCAGTGATATTTACCTTTGTTAAGTGATGATCGAGCAGCATCAACACATGCTGATGTCTTCTTATTGCTTTACTAAATAGTTCCATTCTGGCATCATTATGACTATGCCAGGATCTAATTATTAATGGAGAATGATGACCATAAAATTAAATCAATATTTGGAGAGCACAACATCATGTCAAAGAAGTGTCCTTTGCTGTGTGGCCCTTCCATTTGTACATGTATATTGGCTCTTTTAGGATTCGCTGACCTTTGAAGATGTATTCATCAGCTATGGCATGACAGCTTTGTTGGATTCTCCTCAAAAAGAGCTCTCTGAAGATGTAATTTTGGGGAACTGAGTCTCTGTAGGTAAAAATGGCACAATTCTTAGTCAGTCAGAGGAAAAAAAATTTCTTGCTCATCAGTGTTATATGGTTTAGAGTAAGAAGAGAAAATATTTGGGTAACTATACCATACACAACAATATTATGTCAGCGACACAGCAAAAAGTTGTTCATCTTTTCAATGTTTAATAATTCATCAAGAGTTTTGTCAGTCTACATTTTAGGAAAAACACAGGATGATCAAAATATTAAAGGTGACTATAAGAATCTCTGGAGAAAGCTGGAGAGATGGCTCAGCGATTAAAAGTACTGGCTGCTCTTCCAGAGGTCCTGAGTTCAATTCTCAGCAACCACATGGTGGCTCACAACTATCTATAATGGGATCTGATGCCCCCTTTTGGCATACAGGTGTACATGCATGTGTACACAGCACTCATACATAAAATAAATAAATCTTTAAAAATAAAAGAATCTATGGTAAATTTTATTTAAATAAGGAATTCTTGTTCATGGTAAACCATAGATCAATACATTTTCAAAACAAGGAAATATACATATTGCTTAATATATAATTGGAAAATTTAAATGAGCAAACATTGAAGACATGGTGTAACATGAAACCACAAAAAAATTAGGTCTAAGGGTTCTAATTTCTTAACTTCATGCAGAAAAAATAAAATAAAAAATACCTTTAAGCGACTGGAAAAATGGTTCAGTCGTTAGCACTTGCTGCTCTTGCCAAGGACCTAGGTTCAATTTCCAACACCCATATTATGGCTTACAACTGTCTGTAACTCAGTTCCTGGGAATCTAAGGCCCTCTTCTTGCCTTCATCAGTAACATACATACATGTAGACAAAACACTTATATATGTTAAATAAAAGTAAATATTTAAAAAACTCTTTATAGCAAATGAGCCTTGGGGTGTGGCTCCAAGGACCAGTTCAATAAAAATGAATTTTGGTGTTAGGTCTCATCTTCAAGATGTTTTGTTATTAGTGTGCAAATATTTCTAAATATACCAAGATATTATTTCCTAGCATTTCTCATTTGCATCATTACATGTGAAATGCCAGATAAATAGTATTAAATGTGTTTGAAAAATATCATAATTGATAGTAGCTGATGTGGAGCTCTGAGTGGCATTCCATCCATTCAGGTTTACATATCCCTATTTGATATAAAATTAACAGTTCTCATGAATCATTAATACATAAAATTGCACTAATGTACTTCTCCCCCTTTTTTTTTTTTAAAGATTTATTTATTATGTATACCAAGAGGGCACCAGATCTCATTACAAGTGGTTGTGAGAATTGAACTCAGGACCTCTGGAAGAGCAGCTGGTGCTCTTAACCTCTGAGCCATCTCTCCAGCCCAAATTTTTTTTATTTTTATTTTATTTTTATTTTTATTTTTATTTTTTGGTTTTTCAAGACAGGGTTTCTCTGTGTAGCTTTGCGCCTTTCCTGGAACTCACTCTGTAGCCTAGGCTGGCCTCGAACTCATAGAGATCTGCCTGGCTCTGCCTCCCGAGTACTGGGATTAAAGGCGTGTGCCACCACTGCCCGTACTTCTCACTGTTGCGGGCCGCAGAAATATATCATAAGAACTCAGCTGGTTATGGCAAAGTCACTACCTGGAGGGATCATGGAATTCCTCCAGAGGAAGCCAAATCCCAAGGAGTTTTTGGTGTTACTTGGCTTGTTATATATCAGCTGTCTTCTGTTATGAAAATCATGTGTGCCTTCATAGCTTTCCCAGTTGACTTTTCCCCAAGAAGAACTAACAGTGTAGACTAAGCACTCTCTGGACATACACATTCCAGGTAATTTGGAGAACAGCCTCAGGGAAAGGCTTTCTCTGGAATCAGATTATCTCCCTTGGCCACTTTCAAGGACTACAGGAAACACCACCCAGGTGGGCGCCCATTGTTAGTCCCAGGTGGACTAACAATAACAGCCCACATGCAAGTCTCCTGACTTACGGTAAATTCCGCAAGGAGACACCGCCTAGGAGAGGTGGACGTTAAATAATAGCTTTACACAATTTAGCTCGGACCCTCCCTTTTATATACCGGGACTTCCAGGGCACAGGAGGAGAAGAGAAAAGAGAATGGAAGAACTAGATGGGTAAGAACTTGAGAGGAACGAGCTGAGATGGGGAAGAACTAGATTGAAGAGCTAAAAGAGAGGACTAGAGGAACGAGATGGAAGATGAGGAAGAGCCAGATGGGGAAGAACAAGATGAGGAAGAGCCAGATGAGAGAGAAGGAAACGGGAGAGGAGCTGATAGGGGAAAGAACTAGATAGATGTGAACCTAGAAGGGACAGAACTAGATGAAGGAATTAAGATAGAACTTAGAGGGGACAGTAGATAAATATAGAGAAATCAGGCAAGAAAGGAGCTAGACATGAGAAGAGAACTGAAGCTGTGTATAAAGGATGTTATGCCAGAGGAATTAAAGCGAATGGACCAAAGAACTCTGCGTGCGTAGACTGATTTACCGACCTTAAAGAATAGATTCTCAGCTGGTTGATAGATCCTTCCGCGGACCCTGGAAAGGAGACTATTAGGGGCTGGACCCCAATAGTCCCCAACATCTCACTTTTTACAGACCTCAAATAATAGTTTTTGTGAATGCATTTAAGGTAGTCAATGTGGAGAGACCTAACAGGGACCAAAGCACACTGTAAACATGAAAAAATTCCCCTCTATGATGCCTTGTATCTTAGTTTAGGTTTCTATTGCTGTGATAAAACACCAGAACTAAAAGCAACGGTTCATCACTGAAAGCTGACAGGGCAGGAACCAGGAGATAGGAACTGATATAGAGGCCATGAAGGAATGCTAGTCCTCGTGGCTTTTTCAGCCTACTTTTTTGTGTTATTCATTTGTTTTTGATACAAGATTTCTCTGTAGTCTTGGCTATCCTGCTGGAACTCGGTTAGTAGACCAGACTGGCCTCAAACTCATAGAGATCCTCCTGCCTCTGCCTACTGGTATGCAACACCACCACCACCACCACCCAACACTCAACCTACTTTCTTATAGCACCTAGGCCCACCAGGCCATGGGTGGCACCACCCACACTGGACTAGACCCTCCCACATCAATCACTAATTAAGAAAACACCCTGAAGGCTTGTCTACAGCTCAATCTTATGGAGGCATTTTCTCAATTGAAGCTCCCTCCTCTCAGATGATTCCAGCTTGTGTCAAGTTGACATAAAACTAGCCAATGCACCATGTATTCCTCATTTGTTTGTAGATAGCCTCATCGATCACTTATCCATTTACTGCTCAGAGTTGACATCAAACACCAACATGAGAATGAGTCATATTTAGAAAGTCCCTGTAAATATAAGGGGTGTGGAAACCCTTCAGTTCTTCGTAATGCTTTTAGTGCCATAACAAGGTCTCATTGGAGAGAAAGCTTATGAAAGTAAGTTATGCAATGAAGTTAATAGGTACCTCACATTTGATAAGAGTCATGGCACGGTTCACACTTAGAAACAATGTGGGAAAGCTTTCAGGAAATGCAGGTATGTTGAAATTCATGAAGAAAATACTCTGGAGAAACCATTTGTTTGTAACCACAATAGGATAGCCTTTGGTCATTATGTTTCCCTTAAAAAGTCATGAAAAGGAGAGCCAGTCACCTCCCTGTGGGCATACCTATCAGCCACCCTACTTACTGCATCTACCTGAGACCATATGAGTCCCAATTGCTGTCCAGTGGCCTGGACAGATAGCCACCCAACTTCTGCTGGGCCCTAACCCTGACCCCTAGAGATACTAGAATCCAGTTTCCCCCTTACTTGTCTGCCTGTCAGCCACCCTACCTATTGTGCCAACCTGGGAACCCTACTTGGAAGCCCAGAATAGTTTTTTTGTTTGTTTGTTTGGTTGGTTTTTGTTTTGTTTTTGTTTTTCGAGACAGGGTTTCTCTGTGTAGTTTTGGTGCCTGTCCTGGATCTCGCTCTGTAGACCAGGCTGACCTCGAACTCACAGAGATCCACCTGGCTCTGCCTCTCAAGTGCTGCAATTAAAGGCCCAGAGTATTTTTAAGACTGAGAAGTATCATTCAGCTGTCCACAACCTGACATGTTTGAATGACAGCAAAGACCCAAACATCCACCCAACAAAGGTGAGGCCAGTTATCCATATCTGGAAATACCATTAATAACTTCACACCAGATGTCTAGATCTCACCACAAAAACAAAACAATGTGAACAACCAAGACAAGACATCTCAAAAAACTAGTACTCCCTGCCCCATTGTACTATTCCCTGAAAAAAGCAACTTAGCTGATACACAAGACAAGGACTTCAAAATAGCTATTATAAATATGTTCAAGGAGCTCAAGGAAGATAGAAATAAATGCCTGAAAACCAAAACAGTTGAATGAAATAATTAAAACAAAGATATGGAAATAGGATTTATTAAGGAGATATAACATTTGATAAAAGCAAAATAAATAAAACTTGGAATGAAAAAACTCAGAAATCAAACACAAAGCTCAGAGGAAAGTCTCATCAACAAATTGAATCAAGAAAAAGAGAAACCATCAGGTCTCAAAGACAAGGTAGAAGAAATGGATCTCTCAGTCAAATATTAGATCTTTAAAAGAAAGGAACATTGAAAGAATCTGGAATACCATGGAAAGGCCAAACCTATGAATAAGAGGAATAGAAGGAAAGAAATCCATGACAAAGGCACAGAAAGTATTTTCTATAAAATTATAGAAGAAAACTTTCCTAATCTAAAGAAAAAGATGCCTTTCAAGGTGCAAGAGGCATATAGAATACCAAATAGAGAGGACCAGAGTAGAAACTCCCCACAACACAAGAATCAAAACACTAAATGTACAAAACAAAGAAAGGCTACTGAAAACTGAGAGGAAAACCAGGTCAATTTGAAGGCAAGCCCATCAGAATAACACCTGAGGTTTCTTTTTTTTAATTTAAAAGTTTTTTTTCCATTTTATATACCAACCACAATTCCCTCTCCCTCCACTCTTCCTGTACCCCCTCTCTTCCCCTGGCCCCACCCCCTTCCACTCCTCAGAGAGGGTAAGGCCTCCCATGGAGAGTAAACAAAGTTTGGCATATCAAGTTGAGGCAGGACCAAGCCCTTCTCCCTACATCAAGGCTGAGCAAGGTATCCCTCCTTAGAGAATGGGCTCCAAACAGCCAGTTCATGCACTAGGGATAAATCCTGGTCCCACTGCCAGGGACCCCACCAACTGCCCATGCCACACAACTGTCACCCACATTCAGAGGTCCTAGTTAGGTCCCATGCAGGTTCCCCAGCTGTCAGCCCAGAGTCCATGAGTTTCCATTAGGGTGGGTCCAGCTGTCTCTGTGGGTTTCCCCATCATGATCTTGATCCTTGCTCCTATAATCTCTTCTCCCTTTCTTCAACTGGCCTCCAGGAGCTTGGCCCAGTGCTTGGCTGTGGATCTCTGTATCTGCTTCCATTAGTTACTGGAATAAAGTTCTATGATGCCAATTAGGGAAGTCATTAATCTGATTACAGGGAAAGGCCAGTTCAGCCACCCTGTCCACTATTGCTTGGAGTCTTAGCTGGGGTTGTCCTTGTGGGTTACTGGGAATTTCCCTAGCACCAGTTTTCTCCCTAACCCCATAATGGCTCCCTTTATCAAGATATCTCTTTCCTTACTCTTCCTCTCTGTCCCTCCCCCACTCGACCATCCTATTCCCTCATGTTCTCATACCCCTCCCACAAGTTCCCAGTTTATCCAGGAGTTCTTATCTATTTTCCCTTCCTAGGGCAATCTATGCATGTCCCTCGTAAGGTCTACCTTGTCACCTAGCTTCTCTGGGGTTGTGGTTTATCCTTTGTTTTATATCTAATATCCACTTATGAGTGGGTACATACCATGTTTGTCTTTCTGGGGCTGGGTTACCTCACTCAGGATGTTTTTTTCTGGTTCCATCCATTTGCCTTCAAATTTCATGATGTCATTGTTTTTTACAGCTGAGTAATACTTCATTGTGTAACTGTACCTATTTTCTTTATCCATTCTTCCATTGAGGGACATCCAGGTTATTTCCAGATTCTGGCTATTACGAATAATGCTTCTATGAACATAGTTGAGCAAGTGTCTTTGTAGTATGATTGTGCATCCTTAGGATATATGCTGGGTCTTGAGGTAGATTGATTCCCAATTTTCTGAGAAGTCACCATACTGACTTCCAAAGTGGCTGTACAAGTTTGCACTCATACCAGCAGTGGAGGAGTGTTCCCCTTACTCTGCATCCTCTCCAGCATAAGCTGTCCTCAGTGTTTTTGATCTTAGCCATTCTAACAGGTGTAAGATGGTATCTCAGAGTTGTTTTAATTTGTATTTCCCTGATGGCTAAGGATGTTGAGCAATTCCTTAAATGTCTTTTGAATATTTGAGATTCTTCTGTTGAGAATTCTTTGTTTAGATCTGTAGCCCATTTTTTAAATTGAATCATTTTGTATTTCGATATCTACTTTCTTGAGTTCTTTATGTATTTTGGAAATCAGCTCTCTGTTAGATGTGGAGTTGAACATCTGAGTTTTTAGTCATGATTTTGGAAACAGAAGGGCCTGAATTGATATTTACAAGTTCTGAAAGAACTCAGATGTCAATCCAAATTACTATACCCAGCAAAACTATCAGTCATAATTAAAGGAGAAAGAAACAAACAAAAACATATTTAAAGGGAGCCTGAAAGGATGGCTCAGCAGTTAAGAGCACTGGCTGCTCTTCCAGAGGATATGGGTTTAATTTCCAGTACTCACATAGCAGTTTACAGCCATCTGTTACTCCAGTTCCAAGGGATCTGATGTACTCTTCTGGCCTCCAAGGGCAGCAGTCACACATGTGGTGCACAGACGTACATTCAGAAAAAAGACATATAAAATTAAAAAAAAATCAACAGATTTGGGGGATTGGGAGATTTATTTCCATTAAGCCAGCTCTATAAAACATGCTAGAAGAGAATTATATTTGAATTATATTTATCCCCCCCATCTTTTTTTTTTTTTTTTTTTTTTTTTTGAGACAGGGTTTCTCTGTGAAACAGTCCTGACTATCCTGGAACTCACTCTGTAGACCAGACTGGCCTTGAACTCACAGAGATCCGCCTGCCTCTGCCTCCTGGGTGCTGGGATTAAAGGCGTGCGCCACCATTGCCTGGCTTGAATTATATTTCTTATACCTGAAGAGAAGATTAAACACACTGAAGGGAACAAAAGGAAGAATCCTAGAACAGTTCACCAAAGGAGGTCTAAGAAAACAGCACCACAACAATAAAATAATAAAATAACAGGAATTAGTAAACACTGCTAAGTAATAATTTATAATAAATAATAATACATCTTTTTGCTAACTCCAAAAAATATACTTCAGTATCATGAACAGTCATTGCCTTAGAATAAAAGTATGGTGAGAGGCAATCTAAGTAAATGGAGCTAAGAACAAAGCAGGCCTAGCTATTCTAATACCTGGCAAAATGACTTCAAAGTAAAGTTTGTCCGAAGAGACGGGGAATGACACTTCATCTGCATTAAAGGAAAAATCCACCAAGAGAATATAATTCTAAACATCTACACAGGGGCACCGAGTTCATGAAAGAAGCAGCAGGTCTTAGATCACATACTGAACCTAACACCACAGTAGTGGGTGATTTCAATATTCCTCTCTCACCAATAAACTAGTCACCAGACAAAAACTACACACAGAAATTCTGGAGTTAAATGATGTCACAAAACAAACAGATCTAACATCTTACAGAACACTCCACTCAAACACTAAAGTGACCTTAAATTGATAGACAATTATTTTACTACAAGACCCAGAAAAGGAAGTAGTGCTCATTCTTGATTTGACTAGTATTTGTTCTTAATGAGATAGGAAGTAAGGAGTGAAAATGATCCTGTTGTTGGTAATGATGAGACCTGAGATAAAAGACTCATGATGTTGGTTCAGAGACTGGTGAAGAACACCATAGAGGGGCCAGAGAGATGGCTTAGTAGGTAAAGCAATGTGTTGCCAAGCCTGGTGACCTGAGTTCAATCCCAGGGACCCACAATGGTATGATAGAAGAATAGACTTGAGCCGGGCGGTGGTGGCGCACGCCTTTAATCCCAGCACTCGGGAGGCAGAGCCAGGCGGATCTCCGTGAGTTCGAGGCCAGCCTGGGCTACCAAGTGAGCTCCAGGAAAAGGCGCAAAGCTACACAGAGAAACCCTGTCTCGAAAAACCAAAAAAAAAAAAAAAAAAAAAAAAAAAAAAAAGAATAGACTTGCAAGATTTCCTCTGGCCTCCACCATGCTCAACTTAAAATCTTTTGTAAAATCATGAAATGGATTTTCTAGGCCATGCCATTTCATAAAGTCTCCGGTTTCGCTGAATGGTAATGATTTCCAAAATTGCAGTAATTTGGTTTCCAGAACCAAAGTAGCTTGTTTCTCTAGATTCTTGCATTCCCTGCTCTTATCACCCCCAGGAAAAGCCAGCCACAGATGATGTTTATCTGTCACCTGACATTCTTTTAACTGTCTCACCAGTTACCCATAGGAAATGCTTCAACCTAACTCCTCCTTCATGCCCTATTACTGCAGCCTGTAAGCAGAAGGCAGGCTCTGATTCTTCCACCAGAGACTCCTCTGTTTTTCTCCAGAATAAAGGCCTACACTACCATTGAGCTGCTTGTTCCCTTGTCTGCCTTTTCTTCCTGTCAACCTTAGAATTACCACTACACAGATATATGTCGGAGGTCATATGCTTACCTCATTACAGTACTGTCCAAAATCTACATGTCTCATAACATCACATTGGAGCCCACAAATAGAGTAATTATAATTTATAATAAATATAATTTATAATTATAATTAAAAAGTAATTTTAATATAATTTTTTCAGAAGTTTCTACAAAACTCCATTTCCCCTGTCCCTACGAAGCCTCTAATTTTCATAAAAATAATCTGGATTTGTGAAGTGAAGTCATTGATGTTGGGGTCTACTCCAGAATGAGTGCAGGTTCCTTATAGCTTTTCCAAGTGGTACAGAGAAGACAATGGTGTACCATCTACAGGGCAAGTGCAGTTCTGCCCAATAAAGAGCTAGCTTATTATCAACAAGATGAAAATGACATGTCTGGTACTGGAAACCTAATCAACTACTACCTCCCAGGTCATTCCCACCTCCCTGCTCACCCAATTTCATGCTCTTTCTTTCAGAAAACAAACAAACAAGAAAAACACAACAACAACAACAAAGCCTAAAAGTCAAAATAAAAAGAAACAAAAGACAAAAATAAAAAATAAAAAAATGCCCCAAAATATATGAAGCCTGTTTTGTGTTGGCCAACTACTCCTGAGCCTGGGACCTGCCCGGGAGTGTGGTTGACATACCAAGTGACATTCCATTTGAGAAAACAGGCTCCCCCCCACCCCTGCCGTAAATATCAATTTCAAATAGCTTCTTGGTTAGTAGTTGGACTTTGTGCCTACATCCCCTTCTCAGTGCTGAGATTTTCGTCTGGTTGGAACCTGTACAGATCTTGTGAGTGCTTTCTCAGTCTCTGTGAATTCATATGAGTATCAGTACTGTTGTCTTTGGAAGACACTTTTTCTTTTGGAGTCACCTTTGGCTCTTATAATCTTTCCACCTCCTCTTCAAGATAGATCCCTTAGCCCTGGGCAGAGGTTTGATGAAGACATCTCATTTAGGAATTAATGCTCCAAAGTATCTCTGCACACTGTCCAGCTGCAGATCTTTGTTATTTACCATCTACTGCAGGAAGAAACTCCTCTGATGAGATTGAGTGATACTCTGTTCTGTTGGTACAACAATATAGCATTAGGAGTCATTTTATTGCTATGTTTCCTTAATAGAATAATAGTAGGTTCTGCTCTTGTCCCTAGACCTATTTACCTGTAGGTTCTTGGCTACTTTAGCATTGTCAGGTATGAGTTCCATCTCATGAAATAGGCTTTAAATCCAATAAAAATAATTAAAAGGTGCTTGGTTACTCCCATAACATTTATGCCATGATTGTATATCTTGCAGACATATCTTGGTTGTAGGTCATAGGTTTGTAGCTGGGTAATGTTGGTGCAGAAACATGCAAAGTACCTTCTGGCATCATGAATGCTAGTCAGTAGGGATGCAGCTTCATAAGAAGCTCAACTTCTCTGTTTGACATAATTTGTGTCTTCAGCAATAGGACCTTACTACCAGTTTATGGAGAGTAACAAATAACCTTGGCAATAGTCTGTGATGTTTGGGGGGATCTCTGTAATCGCTTTGGCCAATGACACAACAAAATGTAACCCATTCCTGGCACTGGAGGTGTTAGTTGGTGCCATAAGATATCTAGTTGGGACATTGCCTCCTCCGTTTAAATTCCTTTCACATAAGCATATATTTTAGAATGCTTCTACAATAGTTGGTTTTCATGTGGATTTTCAAAAGGTCTTTAGTATTAGTCTTTCCTTTTCATATTCCATCCTTTTGCTGCCCTCCCATTCACCTCCCTGTTTAATCCTCCCATTCTGGTGTTCACTTCATGTCTTTATAATATTGTACTCTATTTCTTCTTCTATTTCTTCTTCCTGGGAAGATCCCCGCCTCCCTCCTGGTATCTTATTAGCTACCTAGCTTCTGTGGCTATTTGGATTGAAACGTATCTTAAGCTTAAAAGCTAACATCCACATATAAGAGAAAACATTCAATATTTGTCTTTGGAGCCTGGATTTCCTTACTCAGGTGACTCTAGCTCCACCCATTTACTTGTGAATTTTATGATTTCACTTTTCTTATCAGCTGAATAGTATGCAATTGTGTAAATATATCACACTTTCTTCATCCATCCATAAGTTGATGGACATCTAGACTATTTACAATTTCTGTCTATTATGAATAGAACAGCAATGAACAGGGATGAGCAAGTATCTCTGCAGTAAGATATAGTCTTGTGGGTATATGTCCAAGAATGAGCTAGCTGGATGTTAGGGTAGATTGATTCTCAGCTTCCTGAAGAAATTCCATGCTAATTTACATGGTGGCTGTACCAGTTTGCACTCCCACCAGCAATGAATAAGTTTTTCCCATTTCCTCACATCCTCACCAGCATGTGCTCTCATTTGTTTTATTGACCTTGGCCATTCTACCTGGAGTAAGATGAAATTCCAAAGTAGTTTTAATTTATATTTCTCTGATGATTAAGGATCATTTCATAAATGTTTTTCTTTAAGTGTTTTTCAGCCACTTGTGTTTCATGTTATGAGACCTCTCTGCTTAGTTCTGTGTCCCATTTTTTAATTGTATTGTTTTCTTGATGTTCAGGTTGGTTTCTTTTCTTTATATATTCTATTCTATATACTTACCCTCTGTCAGACTTATAATTAGTAACTATCTTTTCCCATTTTGTAGGCTGCTACAATTTAAACAGACCTGTAACCTGTAGTGAAATAGAAGCAGTGATTAGAAATCTCCCAACCAAGAAAGGCTCAGGGCCAAATGGATTCACTGCAGAATTTTACTAGACTTTCAAAAGAAAACTAACAGTACTAGTCCCCAAATTATTCTACAAAATATAAACTGAAGCCATTATCACCCTGATATCAAAACCACACAAAGACCCAATTAAAAGTTATAGATCAACATCCCTTACAAACACAAATGCACATTTTAAATAAGGTTTTGCAAGCCAAATTCAAGTATACATCAAACACCATGACTGAGTTGGCTTCATTTCAGAGATGGTTTAACATATGTAAACCAGCAAACAAAATCCACCACATAAACAGACTGAAAGACAAAAACCACATAATTATCTCATTAGATTCAGAAAAGGACTGTGGTAGAATACAACAATCTTTAATGATAAAAAAAATCTTGTATAGACTAGGGGTAAAAGGAACATACTACAACATAATAAAAGCAATTTACAGCAAGCCCACAGCCAACATCATTCTAAACATTTCCACTAAAATCAGGAATAAGACATGTTCATTCTTCATATTTATTCAAAAACAGTACTTGAAGTTTTATCTAGAATAGTATATCTCAACCTGTAGGACATAACCCCTTTGGGGATTGAATGACCCTTTCATATAAGATATCCTGCATATCAGATATTTACATTACAATTCCTAACAGTAGTAAAAATACAGTTATGAAGTAGCAACGGAAATAACTTTATGGTTGGGGTCACTACAACATGAGGAGCTGTGTAAAGTGTCACAGCATTAGGAGGTTTGAGAACCACTGATCTAGAGCAATGAAACAACTGAAGGACATCAAGAGAATACAACTAGGAAAGAGAGAAGTCAAAGTGTAGTGATTTTTATGTGGCAGGATTTTATAGTTTGTTTTGTTTTGTGTTTTTTGAGACAGGGTTTCTTTGTGTAGCTTAGCTGTCCTAGAACACACTCTGTAGACCAGGCTGGTCTTGAACTCTTAGAGATCCACCTGCCTCTGCCTCCTGAATGCTGGGATTCAAGATGTGAACCACCACTGTTCAGCTCAACATGATTTTATATTTAAAAATACAACCCCATTGATTATACCAGGAAACTTTCAGCAAAGTAGCAGAATACCAAATTAAACACAAAACTCAGTAGCCTTCTTATGTACAAATTACAGAGATTCTGAGAAAGAAATCAGAGAAACAGTAGCTTCCACAATAGCTTCAAAAATATCTTGAGATTACTATAAT